CACAGGGCCCTTCGGTGCTGGCCCCCGCCCCGGCGGCCGCCGCCCTCCCCGATGCCCTTGCTGTTTGGCTTAGTCGTTCAGGCCGCAGCCCGCATGAGGCCCGGCATTGAGCGCTGTCCGCCATGCCCGTCGCGTTGAGCTGCTCCTCGCGGCCGCTGCCCCAGCCGCGGCGGACGGAGCCCCGGTGGGGCGAAGGCTCTGCCCCCTTGGCCTTGCCGTCCGTCTCCCCAGCACCCAGCGCTGTGTCGGCATGGCCGGTGTCCGTGGGCTGCCACGGCCTCGTGACTGACACGGCGACCTCCCCCGGGAGTGACGAGGCCTGTGGGGCTACAAGAGGGAGCCGCCACGTGGTTTGCGTGGGAGGAGCGCGGGAAGTGGGGTGGATGCCGCGGGCGGTAGGGCGGTCTCAGCTGGTCCGTAGTCCGCCTCCTCGTCCTTCCCGCCACTCTCCCCCACCCCGGGGCCGTGGTCGCGGGCGCCCGTTGGTCCAGCAGGCCTCTAATCCACGCAGTCTCGCAGGGACCCAGGCCGACTCACCCGGGCTCCGCCCTCCCCTGCACAGGGCTCTGGGGGCCATTTTAGGTGCGAGTTCCCGGAGGCGGCGGGAAACATGGACGCGAGAGGATGGAGTGGGAGCTTTTCCGCCAGGTCTGCCTCATGGCCCTGTCTAGATGCAAGTGGTTCGGGAAACGTTGTCTCTGGGAAGTAGCTGTCCAGAAAGGCCCAGATGAGGATTTTCCAGGCTGTGCGTGTCTGTGTGTGAACTCGGGAGAGTTAGGGAGCTGGGGGCGGTTGGTGAGCAGACACGGCAGAGGCCGTGACTCCGGGTTCTGCTGCGGCTCCTGTGGACTGCGCACTGTTGACAGAACAGGGAGGATTCTGGTTCTGACATGTGCCCAGGAGCCCCCTCCCGGTCCGAAGCTTGGGAGGAATGCCAGGTCCCAAGGTGCCGGTTTGGGAGCTCTTGGGCGGTGTGTGCTGTGGCCGGAAATCTGCCCTTCAGGGATGGGGGGGAAGAAGGCACACGGGAGAGGCGGGTCCATGGACCCAGTGATGGACGCCCCTGGAGCAGCTTTTCCTTTTTTGGGGGGGAGGGGGAGTTTTTCGTTATAGGGCGCCTGCGTTCACCCGACAGACCGAGAGACACACACATTCCCCAAGGGGGATGGCCACACCGCAATCCCTTCTCCTCCATTCTTCTCTTGGGATCTTGGGCGTGCACACACTTGTGCCTGGCGTGAAAGAGATGGCGGTACAGCGCATGTGCTAGTCCCCAAAATTTGGGGGCGGTCTTAACGACTCTTGGAAATTGGGATGTCTGATACTTACTGACCCAGATGACTCGAATTTTCTTCATTCACCTTTTTCTCTTCTTGTGGTTTACACAGGGCTTGCTTGCTTCTTTCTTTTGGTAGGGCTTTCCAGTAAAAACTGGAAAACCTGCTAGACAAATTCTCAAAGTTGTAACTCTCATACAGGGGGTTCTTGGACTGTCCTTTTCCAACTCTTGTGGGGAGAGCAGGTGTTGCTGGGTGTTCTTTCTGCTCTCTCCCTGACACTGCTCTTCCAGAACCACAGGGTCAGCTCTTTCAAAAGTGGACCTCAGTCGTGCAGATGGAGGAGTGCCTGTCCTCTGACTCCCAGTCCTGGCCTGTGAGGTGGTGGATGCCAGGGCAGGAGCACAGGCTGAGGTCGGCCCACCTTGTTTCAGGCCGGCTCTGCTCTTTGCTGGGTGGTGGACACAGCCTCAATTCCTTCATCTGTGTAATGGAAATGATATCACCTCACAGACTTGTTAAGGACTGAGTGAGTTAATTTATAAAACACTTGGGCAATCCCTGGATCATGACAAAAGCTCAGTAAGTTCTAGTAGTTATCAATTTAATTAGTCAGCATTTCAGTTTTTAGGTGTATTTGGCTCCAGCAACAGCAAGTTATTTTCCCCTCTTCCTGGAGTGTTCCTTTTCATCCTGGCGGTGTTTCTCTTCACTTTTTAAATCTTCAGCTCAGGCTTTACCCTTTGCGGTGCCCTCTGCTGATTCTTCCCCAATTCTTACCCCAGCCTGGACTGTCTCAGGTGCCCCGCTCTGCACTGATGCAGTCTGATCACAGCTGACCTTGCACTTTCCACTTCTTGTTTGAGTCATCTCTGTCTGTCGCCTCCAGTAGATAAGGGAAAGGAGGAGTCAAAGTGTTTGGTCTCTGCGTGGAAGAGGGCTGGGTCTTCTACTGAGATGAGGGGTCAGTGAGGGACACGGGTCTGGGGGTAGGTCAGGAGGTGGTGGTGTGGGTGCTTCCTATAAGCCTGCATTTGAAGTATGCAGTGACTGAGTTCAGCAGTTGCTATCTGCCTGACTTCTGGGTCCTGGTGATCTGGGTAGCCATTTGAAAGTTTATCTTTGGTCCTGAGGGCATGGTGGTGGTGCCTGGCTCCCAGTTATCACCAGATGCTTGTGAATCGAAAGAATGGAGGAGGGAAGCAGAGAACAGGGCAGGTTTCTGGGGGATGTGTGTGTATACACACCCCTAAAACTGTAAGACCCCACCCATTTAGCCTCTGTCTGTCTCAGTGCTTATGGAGGGATGGGTATGCTTTGATCCTCTGGAATAGCTATTCTGGTTATTCTCATCAGATACCTGCTGGCAGGTGCTGTCCTGAGCCCTAGACCAGGCAAGGTCCCATCTCTTCCTGTAAATAAGGTGATTTTTTGCTGGTGCTTGTAAATAATGTCAGGAAGTGTTTTGACAATTTGTCATGAAACTGATTTTAGAAGCCACTTAAGCTTGCCAGGCTTGCCACAACAAAGTGCCATAGACTAAGGACCTTAAATAACCAGAATTGATTTTCTCACAGTTCTGGAGGCCAGAAGTCTGAGGTCAAGGTGGCGGCAGGGTTGATTTCTTGGCTTGTTGATGGCCACCTTCTCATGGTGTCCTCATGTGGTTTTCCCTCCACGTATCTGTATCCTAATCTCCTTGTTATCATCTTGTGTGTGTGTACGTTTGTGTGTGCGCTGGAAAGTACATGTGCTCATTAGAGAGAGCAGAGAGAGAGGAGGAGGAGAAAGCATCTCCCACCACAGGGAATAGTAACACTATAATCCTTTTTCCTTCATCTCTTCCCTCCTTTCGTGCACACATGCACACACACACCTGGTGCATACACTGCTGGGTCCTGGATTCAACTGTGCAGTCAGCTGTGTGGGACTCAGCTGCTGTAACTGCCATGGAGCCATCCCTGTAGTGCCCTATTCTTATTGAATTAGGGCCCACCCTAATGGCCACATTTCAATTTAATTCTTTAAAGACTCTGTTTCTGAATGCAGTCACATTCCAAGGGTCTGGGAGTTGAAACTTCAACATAGGGTTTTGGGGAGACACATTTAGTCCATAACACAATCTCTCCTTCTTTGCAGGAAGAAGTGTAGGAATAGTCACAGCTTGACAACTGCTCACAACCTGAGAGTGCTGAAAACTCATGGCGTTGACCACCTCAGCTACAGTGAGCTGTGCCAACTCCTCTTTCAGAATGATCCCTATCTTTTACCGGAAGTGAGTTTCTGAGAAAGGTTCTTTGCAAGTCTTACGGGAGAGGCCAGATGGTTGGGAAATAGAGATTGTGGTTGAAGAGAAATCAGGGACCCCATTCTGACCAAGAATCACTACATGGAGGAGACCTGGGTCCAATTCCTACTTCTGCTGATGTCTAGACCTGTGACCTTGGGCCAACCTGTCATCTCTCAAAACCTCCTTTCCTCCCATGTCAGTTGGGCTAGTCCCTCCCATGCTGGGCCTCTATGAGGCTGGGAGAGCCTGTGGGACAGAGCCTACGGTAAGGTGTAGATTACACAGAGCTGAGGGGGACAAGAGACTCCAGCAGGCCCGTCCCTGACGGGCAGGAATTGGAACCACACTGTTGCTCCATCCAGTGGTCTGTGCAGAAGCCTTCCAGGTGGCAGACAGGCACCCAATGCTCTACTCCCTTGCTCACACCCAGGCAGTGGGAGCGCTTGTTGATGTGACTTCTCAGATTGCTTTTTTATTTTTTTGGAGAGGTTTTTGCTACAGGGCATGTGTGCTTGCCAGACAGACAAAGAGAGACAGAGAAACAGAAAGCGAGAAATCACCCCCCGAGGGGATGGCCACACTGCAATCCCTTCTCTTCTCAGGATCTTGGGCACGCACGCACATGCACCCGGCATGAGTTTCAAGCCACTGGGTCTGGGAGGGGAACCGCGGCCGACTACATGGGAGTCTAGCAACATAGCCATTACGCTAACTGCTGGTCCCGAATTCTCAGATTGTTTTTGAGACGTCATCTTAGCTTCAGCGCTTTCAGTGATGATTCTGTACCCGTTTGGGTCCTTGGGGAAACAGCTGCCAATATGGATTTAGAAGCATAAGAGATTTAATGGAGGAGTAAGTAGGAGAAGGTGAGGAGAATTCTTAAGCATCAGAGAGGCAGGTCTGACATTGATGGCAGGGGGTAAGGTAGAGACTCAGACTGCAGCAGAGGCTCCACCAGCCAGGAGCAATTCTTGAGTTCAATCCCGTGTCTCGCCAGAGCTGGCTTGCTCTGGTACCTATGCTCTGCTCCGTGGTTGGTCATGGATTAGGAAGCCTCTGTGTGAATGACGTGGACCCTGGAGGGCAGCAGCTGGGTCATGAGCTTGTGCTCCCACACAGATCTGCACAGGCTCTGTAGGAAGCGTTGCCACTGTTTCTGGGCTAAGGTAACAGAGATTAGACCAAAATTGCCCCCCCCTTTTTTTTGCTAGAAGGTTCATGTGCTTGTCAAAGAGAGAGAGGGTTTGGGGTGGGGGAGAGAGCACCCCCCATGGGGAATGGTTATGCTGCAGTCCCTTCTCCATTTCTGCTCTTGGAATTTGGGGACATGCATGTACATTAGCCTACATGTTATTTTCAAGCTTCTGGTCTGGGACATGAACCACGCAGTCAGCCATTTGGGATCTAGCTGCCTTAACCAGCATGCCACTGGCTGGCCCAGACTGACCTATTTTAATGAAAATGCTTTCGTATTACTCAGTTAAAGTGGCCCATTTGGGAAGGGTGCTAGCACAGCATAGTATCAGTACCCTGGTGCTGAGAGGCTGGCGGCTGCTCTGGGTGCTGAAGGATGAACGAGAGTGAGACAAGCAAAGGGGCAGGAGTCTGGCAAGAGGAGCCTTGTTCCCCTGGGTGGCCCAAAGAGGTCAGAGCTGGCAAGACCTGCATGTGGGGTGAGAGGTAAGGAGAAAGAGACATGGGTGGGCAGAGGCTCCTTCCCCCTGCAGGCCTTTGGTATTCTGCATGTGTGTTTGGGGAGTACTGTGTTTGGTGAGTAGGTGTTAACATTTTGGAGAGGTCATCTTGTCCACAGTGTGAAAAATGACTCAGAAGAAGGTGGGCTGCAGGTGGCCAGTCATGGAGTGGTAGCCTTGGTCCATGTGATGTGCAGGTTGGCTGAGAACGCACTGCCAGAAGGTGGGAGCTGAAGCTGAGCTCAGACCAGCGTAACTTTCCTGTGGGTCTTCTCTGTGTAGTCCCCTACCAGATGCCCAGCAGGGCTGGGGTGGCTGCCAGGAACCCAGCACCACTACATGTAGGCATTATTTCAGCTATGTCCTGTTTGCCGCATAGTCCTCACAAAAACTCCCTTGATGTAGGTGGGCATTATTCTCCCTTCCTGGATTAAAACAGAGTCCCAGACCTGGTGAGTGGCTTGTCCAAGGTCAGGCAGCTTATAAGTAGCAGAGTTGAAATTAGGCTCTACTGTCTGACCTTTTCCCTCAGAGCCTCCTGCCACAAGAGTGGGGTCTTTGCTGATTTAAATCTGGGTTCCCCAGTCCTCTGAGACATTCATACATCTTGTCAAATGCAATGCCTGTGAATCTGCTCAGTGGGCCCTTGGTGGTCTCTGCCTGGTTTCCATCTCCAGGAATTTGGAATGTAGGGAAGGAGCAGTTGATTGAAGCCCAGGCCCCAGGTTTGCCAGCAGCCCAGGTCAGCAGACATTGTATGCACAAGGTGCTGTGGACAGCTCTGTGACTAGGCTCAGCTGCTTACCTTTTCCAGGTCTCAGCTTGCTCCCTTAAGAAATTAAAGCATGGTATTTAGCCTTCTGTAAGATGCTTTAAACTCTCAGAGTCTCTTTCACCCTGACTTACAGAAAAGAGAGTTGGGAAAACTGGGGTTGAAAAGTCAGCGAGGGCAGAGAGATGCTGCCCTCCCTTTACATTAAAATGCTTTCATGTGAAGGGAGCAGCTCTGGTGACTTTGAAGTTCTTTGGATTTTCCCAGTGGAGGGTCTTGTCCAAGGCAACCAGTCTCCCCGCCGTATCTGCTTTCATCCATTTCATCCATTAGCAGTCATCGTCCTGAGTGAGGCATGGCTGTGTGGATGATGTTGACTGTGCCGGCCTCTCCAACCAATGGATAGGTCAGAGGGGAGCTGATGTCCCGCGAGGCCTTCCTGAGCTGTTGTCTTTTCCTGCTTTGTCAACAGGTCTGCCTACATTACAACAAAGGAGATGGACCCTATGGCTCTTGTTCCTTTCGAAAGCAATGTATCAAACTCCATATCTGCCAGTACTTTTTACAGGGGGAATGCAAGTTTGGCACCAGCTGTAAGAGATCTCATAGTTTTTCTAATTCTGAGAACCTGGAAAAGTTGGAGAAGTTGGGTATGAGCTCGGACCTGGTGAGCAGGCTGCCTTCCATTTACAGAAATGCATATGACATCAAGAATAAGAGCTCTGCCCCCATCCCAGCGCACCCCACTCCTCTAGGCCCACAGGGGACTTCTGGTAAGGCTGCTGAGAAGTGTTGCAGTCCCTGGTCTGGGGAGACTGGATTCCATTTGGCCAATGGGATGAAATGTGTGACTTTGGGCAAGTCTGTGCTTTTTTTTTTTAGAATTTTTTTTTTTAACTTTATTTTCATTTGACGACACACAGAGAGAGAGAGCAAGAGCAAGCAAGCCATCAGGTCTGGGACTTGAACCATGGTTGGCCATGTGGGCGTCTAGTGCCCTTAACCACCATGCCACCTGCCGGTCTCAGTTTGTGCTCGCCTCCATTTTTTGTTTTTTTTTTTTTTTTTTTTTTAGTGCAACAGAGTTGGTGATCCTTTCCTAGCTGGAGGCGGTGAGAGGAGAAATGGAAATCAGCCATGATCAAGCAAGGTGCTTGAGATTGTGGGAGTTGGTATTGATGGTGAATGAATCCCACATGCTGGCCTGATCTGTGCTAAAATGGAAGACTCAGCACCTTCTTTTTTTGGTCAGCACCCCCCAGCCGCAGAAGAGCTTGCCTTTTAGTGAGGGATTCCAGAGTTAGGAATGCCTTGCTGTTCAATCCTATGGATATCTTTGTGCCATATTCTGTTTGGAGTTTACAAATTGAAAGAAGCACATTTTACTCCTGACGTTGGCCATCTTTTTTTTTGGGGGGGGGGAGAGTTTTTTTTTTTCCCGCTACGCGTGCGCTCGCCAGACAGACAGAGAGAGACAGAGAGACAGAAAGCGAGAAATCACCCCCTAGGGGGGATGGTCACGCCGCAATCCCTTCTCCTCCATTCTCCTCTCGGGATCTTGGGCACGCACGCACACGCGCCCAGCATGAGTTTTAAGCCACCAGGTCCGGGACGTGAACCGCGGTCGACTACGTGGGAGTCCAGCGACATAGCCATTACGCTAACTGCTGGTTCCCACGTTGGCCATCTTTTTAAGAATTGAATGTCTATCATAAATTTATCAGCTTCATTCCAGCTAATTTCAAGCACCTGGACAGTACCTGCTCCCCAGCAGGCACTCAGACATTTGTTGAATGAATGAGTGTGTTAGGATACTTCTTTCTGTTTTTTTATTTTTAAGAATTATTTATTCTATTTAACTTTATTTTTTAATTTGATGAGAGGGAGAGAGAGAAGGTGAGAAGGCAAGCTGCCAGGTCCAGGACTTGAACTGTAGTTGGCCACATGGGAGTTCAGTGCTCTCAACCACTATGCCACCTGCTGGCCCCAGACACTTTTCTAAAGGATTGTCAGGCTTAGTGAGAGGCAAATGGAGCTAATTTTGAGCAGAGATTTTTATTTAATAAGCATTTTTTAAAAATTTGACAGAGCACATATGTGTTCACCTGAAGACAGACAGAGGAAGAAAGCACTCCCAATGAGGTGTGGTCATGTTATAATTCCTTCTCTGTTATTCCATCCTGTTGAGATTTTGGGTATGTGTGTACACACACTCAGTGTATTTTTCAAGCCTCTGGGATTGGGACTTGAACTGCATTGTCAGTCATGTGGAATTTGGGTCTCTTCACCAGTTGGCCATATAGCTGACTCCTAATAAACATTTCCTGAGTACTTGCTTTGTGGTGAATGAATAACAGTCCCTCAGGGAGATTAAGATACTTTGGAATCCTTTGGATTCCATGAGCTAGGCCTTTGGCTTTGCCGTTCTGGTCTTCATTCTTTCATTCAACAATGAGCACATGTGCTGGGGGCTGTCTCAGGCCCTGGTGGTTTCTTAGTGAATGTGAAATATGATTCCCTCTGGGAGCAGACCCACTTGTTCAGCTGTAGAGATAGCTATGATTAAAAACAAACAAAAAAAGTATTTATCTCTTCAAAGAATAGAAGAGGGTCACCCCAGTCTCACCTGACCTGAATCACAGGAACAGGTGTGCACCCAGTGGGCTCAGAAAGATCCTGGGACATGAACCCAGGACCTTTCCCACATGGATACAGTTGCATACCACTGCATCCACTGGTCCAACTATGTTTTTTTTTTTTCCTTTTCAAGTTTTTGCCATAGGGAGCTTGTACTTGTCATGGAGAGATAGAGGGAGGAAAAGTGAAAAATCATCCCTCAAGGGGGATGGCCATGCCACAACCCTTTCTTTTCCATTCTCCTTTCAGGATTTTGGGCATGCACACACATGCACCTGGTGTTATTATCAAATCTCCAGGTCTGGGACTCAAACCATGGTTGACCATATAGGAGTCCAGCACCTTAACCACCATACCACCTTCTGGCCCTCCAACTCTGATTTATTTTTATTTATTTATTTATTTTTGAGAGGTTTTTGCTATAGGGCACGTGCACTTGCCAGAAAGACAGAGACAGAGAGACAAAAAGCAAGAAATCATCTCCCGGGGGGATGGCCACGCCACAATCCCTTCTTCTCCATTCTCCTCTTGGGATCTTGGGCATGCATGCACACGTCCCCAGTGTGAGTTTAAGCCACCAGGTCCAGGACTCGAACCACATTCGACTACATGGGAGTCCAGCGACATAGCCATTACACTAACTGCTGATCCCTCCAACTCTGATTTTTAATCACCTGCTTCCTAAAATATCCTGTGAGTGCCAGGACTACCAGCAAACAGACTGGCTGCTCTACTCTTAACTGATTTTAATAGTTGAAAACCATCTTATTATTATTTTTTTTATAAGAGAGATTTTTGCTATAGGGTACATGTGCTCGCTGGAGAGACAGAGATAGAAAGTGAGAAATCACCCTCCAGGGGATATGGCCACACCACAGTCCCTTCTCCATTCTCCTCTTGGGATCTTGGGCACATATGCACATGCATCTGGCTTGAATTTTAAGCCACCAGCTCTGGGACTTGAACTGTGGTTGACCACATGGGAGTCCAGCAATGTAACCCTTATGCCATCTGCTGGTCCCCTGAAAACCATCATTATGGGATCTGTTTTTTTCCCTTGTATTTCCTTCAGTTACTTTTTGTTAATTTCTGTCAACTAGGAAGCCTAGAAATAGGCAGGTTTTGCTTTAAATTGACCTTTCAAAACATCCTATGGGTATTGCTTTGCTAGAAAGTATGTGGGGGGATAGGTGTGGGGGAACATCTGCTTCTGGGTAGGTCCACAGAGCAGTGACCCACCTTTGGGGAGAGAGGCAGATGACACTTGGGGTGTCACAGGTCCCAGCCTGTGGACTACCTGAGGGGCTTATACAAAGGAAAGGGAAGATGAGTGCCAGATGACAGGTGATGATAAATAGGGCATCTGCAATGAGTTCTGTGTGCTTATTTGGGGATCAGTGGGTTGGGGTGGGTCGCAGTGGTGCTAGTAAAGGTCAGCATTGACTATAAGGTCCTCATAATTAACCTAAAATTAAGGAAGTTGCATGTTGAGATGTAGACTTCCCATATATTGCCTTTTTCTTGGTAGTAGTTCCTAATTTGGATAGTTCATTTACTGGAGTGTGTGTGCTATATAGACCCAAAGCCAGTTTATAGAAAGTTGTCTTCCAGTGTTTCTCTGGAACCATGACAGCCTTAGGTCTGGAAGGCATTAGAAGCCACATCACACATAAGACAGCCTCTCTCCCTTATTAAAAGTGCTCCAGGCTCCGCCATAGGAGGCTCTGACTCGGTGGATCTGGGATGGGGCCTGACACTTGTATCAACAGGTCCCCTCGTGAGGTGGGTGGATGCCAAGGTTGAGAAAAGTGCCCCTCCGTGGCCTCCCATGCTTGCCAGGGAGCCATGTGGCTTTGGGCTTCTAGCCTATCCCTCATGCAAAGAGGGCCTTGTGTGTGTCTGGAGTGCCCTCACCCCAGCATGACAGGGTTTTGTGAGTTGCCTTGCCTGCTTTTGTCTCAGGCACAAAGATGAATGATTCCTCTTTTCTTGACTTTGTGCCTTGAACTTCTGTAACCCTACATCAGAAGCTTCCACGGAAGCTGACACATCTTTGTGGTGTTTCTTTGTAGAAAGAAGAGGCAGCTGCTCAGGCCCTGTCTCCCCAAATACTCCAAGCCAGGAGGAGAATGATCAGATCTGCCTGTACCATATCCGAAAAAGTTGTAGCTTTCAAGGTAAGTCAGAGGAGGCCTGTTCAACCCACGTGGGGGAAGGGGTGAATGGTTTTCATTCCTAGACTTGTACTCTGAGGCTCCCTGGAAGGCTGCCTTGTCCAGAGAGGCTCAGGACATGCCATGCCAGCCAAACCAATTCTGAAGCTATTTTGTTGGAGACATGATAGTGTTAGAATTCTTTGAGTTTCCACAAGGCTACTGTGGATAAGTTTTGGGAATGTAACTTTTTGATTCATGCAGCATGTAAGTGTCAGGTACTAACCCTTGGTCAGTTTAGCACGAGGTCATAGACCTGCAGAACACAGGGGACTGCTTAGCCAGGGAACAAAGGTAAGTGTCACTTCTCTCTCTCTCTTAAATTGCCAGAGGGCATGTGTGCTCACCAGAGAGACAGAGAGGGAGAAAGAGAAAGTCCTTTCCAGTTTCTTTTTTCTTTCCTTTCCTTTCCTTTCCTTTCCTTTCCGTTCCTTTCCTTTCCTTTCCTTTCCTCTTTTCTTTTCTTTTCTTTTCTTTTCTTTTCTTTTCTTTTCTTTTCTTTTCTTTTCTTTTCTTTTCTTTTCTTTTCTTTTCTTTTCTTTTCTTTTCTTTTCTTTTCTTTTCTTTTCTTTTCTTTTCTTTTCTTTTCTTTTCTTTTCTTTTCTTTTCTTTTCTTTTCTTTTCTTTTCTTTTCTTTTCTTTTCTTTTCTTTTCTTTTCTTTTCTTTTCTTTTCTTTTCTTTTCTTTTCTTTTCTTTTCTTTTCTTTTCTTTTCTTTTCTTTCTTAAGGTTTTTGCTATAGGGTGGGCGTGCTTACCAGAGAGACAGTGGGAGGGAAAGAAAAAAAATC